CAGAGAGCTTTCAAACTTAAACCCCATAAAATCAGAGATCTTGAATCTTGATGTTTCAAAGAAAGAGACGCAGACTCTACAAAAGGACTTCCCATTCTCATGGAGGGAGAAGGAATTAGCCTACCTAGGAGTGAAGTTGACTCCTTCTATAAAACATACATACTGGGTAAACTGTATCCCATTAATAAATGAAATAAAGGAGGGGCTGAGAAGACTTTCAAGGGAAAGGGTTTCTTGGATTGGGTGTATAAATTTAGTTAAGATGGTGATAGTTCCAAAAATCCTATATAAAATTCCATATGCTCCCAGTCCATATTCCAAGATCCTTCTTTGCGATAATAATAAAAAAAAAAATAATAATACTTTAATATATATGGGCCAATAAGAAACTGAAAATTAGGTATGAATTTCTGTATAATAAGAAAGAGAAAGGAGGATTAAATTTACCCGATATTAAAAATTATTACGCTGCAGTGATACTGTCACGAATTGTAGACTGGACATATAATTCACAGTGGAAGAGTTGGTTTAAAATAGAAGGCACTTTAACCCCTTCACGCCGACATCACACAAATACGTGGCCTCACAGAACTAGGCTTTTTTCCGTGGGATTGCATATTTGCGTACATGTGTTCCTGCTGGGAATGCGCTGCACAGTGCGCTTCCAGCACAAAGACCAGGGTGTCAATGAGAGCCTTAGGTCCCGTTCTAACGATCGGGACCAAGAACTCCCGATCCTGAGTCACATGATCGCTGTGATAGCCTCTGATTGGCTATCACAGTGATCAGTCACTGTACATCCTGCCCCCCTTGTTTTTCTTTTCTCTATGAATGGAGGAGAGCGATACATTGTATCTAAATCCTTGCATACAGAGAAAAAAAAATGTTAAAAAAAAAAAGATAAAATTATTAAAAATAAAATAAAGAATAAAGAAAAAATACCTAGATCAATGTTTGATCTAGTTCAGTGCCAGTGTTAGTGTTTGGGTCAAGGTCAAAAATGTCAGGATTTTTTTTTTTTTTTTATTGGTGTCAGTTAGTGTCAGTGTGTTTTAGGTAAAAAAAACAAAACACAAAATGTGCACTATTCTTCTGGGCAGTACTATGGGTACAAGCAACACATAACACACATATATGGTATTGCTGCGATCGTAAAGAGCTGGAAAATTTATTTTGGGTTGTTCTTTGGTGGTAGGTTATGATAGTGACAAGAAACACAGCTAAATTAAAAAAAAACTTTTTGTTTTTGTTACTGTTTTGGCCCAGTTTTCCTTTGCTAATGAAAAAAAAAAAAATCAGGAGATATCCATTACCATTTACTACCAAATGGAAGCCCAATTTGTCCTGTAAAAAACAAGGTATAATTCACCTGGATGTACAAAATAGTTGTGATATGTACGGTTTTACTAACACATGTCAACGTTGCAAAATTGTGCTTAGGCATTAAGATTTGTTTTACCCTTAGGTGTGAAGGGAACACAGGATTATAGAGGATTATTTGGATATCACGAATGTTTTGTATTATGGATGAGATTAGTAATACACTGACATAGGAGATGTTAAGAGTATGGGATGGAATACACAAACAAATGGACTGGAAGTATAATTCACTGTTGATTTCCCTAGTGGGTACTGATTTTTTTCCCGCCGGGGAAGGATAATATTTCGGGGAAATGGTTTAAGGATGTAGATGCACGGTTGGGTGATATAGTAGTTAAGGGGAAGTTGTGCTCTTTTCAAGATTTAAAGAGTAAAAAAAGAGATATTTGTGGCATTAAATGAATTGAGATAATATCAATTAAGACATTTTGTTTCAAAGTTGCCTCAACCCCCGAGGATGGCGGAGGACATGCTCCCGTTCGAAAAGATGTTGGGTTCTAGAATGGCTCCAAAACATGTCACTTTTGGGATATAGAAAATTCTTACTGAATTGAGGGGGGATCCTCTGCTGTTCTTAGAGAAATGGGAAAGGGAACTGGGAACAAAAATGAATGAATCACAGAAAAATGTTTAAATTAACACATGGGGTGATGAACATGAACACAGTCAAAATTAATTATAAGTGTTTAACGAGATGGTACTTGACACCGATTGTTGCACACAGACAATGAGTAGGAGTCTCACCGTTCTGTTTGAGGGGATGTAGAGCTAAGGGAACAATGGCACATATATGGTGGGACTGTCCAAAAATACAGGGGGTTTGGCAAGATATAATCCAATTTATACAAGAGATACTGGGGACAACTATATAGAAGGATCCGTGGGTGTGTTTATTTTATAGTTCAGATGTATCCAAGGCATATTTAAATACTAAGATCTCATCCATGGGTACTATTAGCATCTTGTTGAGATAGGAGACCATGAGATCCACTGAAGGCATACTGCAAAATGGTTCTAAAAGCTCAAGGTTCATTACCTTCAGTGCATAAAAGTAAAAGCCCCTCCAGCCCCCCATAAACCTCACCTGAGCCCCATCTGATCCAGTGATGTTCACAATAGCCTTGGCTGTATGAAGAGAGAGCGGGGTCGAGGCACAGCTCTGTGTGTCTTATGCTCTGGGGGCACTGCTCGAGGGGAAGGAGCCAGGAACGTCGGCCGGGGACCCAAAAAGAAAAATGATCAGGACAACTCTGTGCAAAACTACTCAACAGAGCAGATAAGTATGACATGATTGTTGTTTTTGTGTTTTTAAAACATGAACCGTTAGTATCACTTTAATGAACTCAATCTCCATGGGATACTGCTGAGTGAGCCTATTTGGCAGAATGAACACCTTGTCAGGGTTAACCCAGTCCATATACCAAACATCCTTTAAATGAGGATGTACATGAAAACATTGAGAATATTGTGTAGCTTGGGTGTAGAAATGGTAGCTTTACCTCAGTCCGAACTACTTCAGCGACAAACAATGGCCTTTTGCATCCCAGATAAACCTTGACCCTGGGTTTTTTAGGAGTATATTCCTCGGATGAGGATTTTTCCACATTCCCTTCTACATGAATATTCTCTTCTTGCTCTACCTCGTCCTCCATTGGTTCCACTTCCATTAATAGGAAAGGGGGAGGAGAGGAGGGAATGCCTCTGCTTGTGACCAAGGTGGTCCAAGCCAGCAGGTAATCTAGGAAGCTGGTGCTGTATACCACAGACAGCAGAAGAAAATTACTCCCTTTACAAACTGGAGGAAGGTGCTCTGGGAGTAGTGGAAATACCAGATAGGCAGAGGGAGTCTGAGCTGCATGGAACAAACTGATCCCCAGGGGACACATTGCACAGGGGGCTGTGCCTGGGTTTCTCCTTACATGAAAAAGGTATGTGGGAATCCTCACCCCCTACATCCCCTCCTCTCTGCTATCTATAACACATGGCATGCCAGCAAGTCTAAAGAGACCCTTGCTGGTTATCGTGATCTTAGTCAGCCGAAAGGGTACTGTACCACTAAGCACCAGTGTGCGGTTTACCTCAGGAGATATGACCTTTCTAATCCTGCAAGTGCCCCTCCACCCCGCAAGGAAAAGCATTGTGTAGAATCTGTAGTCCCACCAAGGAATCACTCTGCTGTGACCTGTAGACAAGAAAATCTGCTCTGCTGCCTCACAGGTGGATCCAAGATGGCCAACACCAGTGTGCTCTGCCTTACTTGAGACATCACTGGCCAAAAGGTGCGTAGTCTCACTAGTTTGGAGTGAATGCAGGTAGCAGAGAACTACTCCTGCTTTTTGCACCTTGAGTCTTCCAGACCACCCCTAAAGCTCCACTATTCCTATGAAGCAGTTGGGGCAACCCAGGAAGCCACAAGGTGAAAAACAAACAGCACACAATATAGAAAAATGTTAGGGCCACAATACATATTCCTTGTCCTGTTTGTGATGGAGGGGGGTCACCAGAGAAGGATAGGCAGGGTACCAGCAGGGACCACCCCAGGGCACTCACATTTACAAGCCACAGGACCCCATTGGGGGGTCCAATCTTCATCCATCATGGCATGCAATGCCAAAAGGGCCTTCAGGGACTTGATTCCCCAACTGGGGATCACTGTCCTGAACCTGTATAGCACCTTACCAGTCTGTACAGCAATACATTGTACAGGAACGTGTTGCACAGCGTCCATTGCCGCCTGGCAATCTTACAGGTTGTCCTCGTGTGTCCAGTGCAAGGTCCGGTTACCATTCCTTTGAGCATAGAAAAGCCAAACAGAATGTATCCGTAAAGAACCAGTCTCCTAATCCCAGATGGAACCGTTGGGAAGCTATTTCTGAGCAGAAACTGCACAGACATGAACATCACCTAAGTCACTAGCAAAAACCAAAGCCTTGCCTATATGGGAAAGGTGTTCAAGTGTTCAATCACTTGAAGATGGCAGCATAATGTATCAATGTATCATAATGAATAGGAAGATGCCCTATGTCTTGGGATGGACAATAAAAAAACAACAACTTGTGCTCGACTGTTGGATGTGCTGCTCAAACTAAAGGAGGTTTGTGAATGCTGTACAGTCTACCCCCACTGTAGCCAGACACCCCTTGATATCATCCAGTAATATAAAAAATGTCAGCAATGGTTCAGGAGCAAATTCAAGCTTTTCAGAAATGTCTAAAGGGCTCATTCACAAGGGACAGTGAATAATACTATTCCCTATACTTCAGAGTTAAGCACACTGTGGCCCACATTTTTTAAACCGCATCTTTACGCACAAAATAAAAAATGTGTGAATATGCAGCCGATGTGACTATATTTTCATTTTTAAGAGTGGATTGGCTGTGGTCCAGCCATACTGCAGCTTTTAAAACAGACCCCTTAGTGTCCTTAATAGATCAATAAAGCTTGAATGTAATCCTGGAATGTTGTTACATTGTGTTGATTGCTGCTCAGACCAGCTGATCAGCAAATATTAGGCTTGAAAAATACTAGTCCTAACCTTCACAGATAGCAAACAGCTGGCAAAGCTTGAAGAGACCTTCCACAGCTGCACAGATTATAAAAAATAGAGAACATAGCCAAACCTTGGGCGGTGCTCCAGACTGGGAAACGTAGGGACTGGTAGTCAAAGTGGATGCAGATAATCTGCCAGTGCGTCTCGGAGTTCGGACTTCTGCAAGATTATTTAAACCGGGACTTTGCCTTTGACGGGTGTTGCGGGATGGGGATGGTTCAGGAGTAGAAATTTCCTGAGGAGGAAAGCAGAACATTGTTACAAACTGCACAACAATGTCTATGTAAACCCAGTTACTAATTTTTTTAAATAAATGGCACCTTATGTGGTCATTTTGGAACCATCATAGATGGCAGCCAGGTAAAAGTAGTAGAATCTGGCATTGAGGTCTTTCAGTACAAGGATAATCTTAACAGGAAGGCTAGCATGTCGTAGGAAAGGAGTTATCACAGGAAGGGTTACAAAGAAGAGTTACCATACGGCTTACGGAGAGGAGTTAGCGTGCAGGCTCGTTCATACCACACTTCCATGAAAACTGATGGGAAAACCTTGTAGATTTCACTTGCAGAGACATGAGTTCACATCAATTTTCATGCAGGTTTCTGTGAGTTTTATACACATTGACAACAGTTTTCATGCACGTCACTTATGTGCCCTGTTCACACCACAGTGTTGATGTCATGTCAGGTTTTTTTCCGTGCAGAGAACTGCATACACTTTGCAGATTTCTGTACAGAAAAAAATCTACACGTGATACTAGTGTTGTTGGGTGAACAGGGCACACCGAGAACAATTTTTTTTTTGCCCTTTTAAACATATGCAGAAAATCTAGTGTCTCCGCACATGGTGTGAATGAGGCCTGAGGGTCACAGTAAGGTGAAAAGGACATCACTTTAACTCCCAAGAGAACAGCACTGAAAAATACCAGTGCTGATCCCACTGTGCTGAAAGCTAATGTATCATCCGTGTAAATGCTTGCCAGCAACAGTAAACAAACAACATTCTAACAGGCAAAATAAATCTAAACTGAATATGATTGCTGGCTGTAGCAAACTACTTACAACAGCATTTTTCTCTCGTCAAATAAGCCTTTCTGTATGTGACAGGGCACACAGTGTGTGTGCGTGGATACAGCTCACCAACATTACAAGCAAGGGTTCTCAAATCTTCAATTTACAATAAAGAAAGGAATGGATTGGTACAATATAGTTATACGTGAATTAAAAACTGTATAAGTATTGAGCTGGTGGCCTATGATCCCTGTAGTGCATTTGAAGGTTTCAATTTTCAACTGTGGCTGAGGCACACCTTTGATGCACAAGTCCAGGTTGAGAAAAATTAGGGTTTTTAGTTTGCCGTAAACTTTTTTTTGGAGTACCTGCTTCCAACAAAGCTTAGGACAATAAGATAGCAAAACAATGTCCTGATTTAGGTGAAATGAAAAAAAAAAAAAAAAATTTACAAAAGACGGAGGTCTGAGTATTCATCCCCACCTTATCCTGGTGAAGGATCAGGAAAAACGCCTTGCAGAAGAGCGCAGCCAACTCGGAGACCCTGGGAGCCGAAATGATAGCAACCAAAAAGACAACCTTGCATCTAAGAAGCGACAAGGTAATTTCCCACAGAGACTAAATAGGAGACGTCTGTAAAAAAGACCAGAACAAATTAAGGTCCCCTGGGGACAAAGAGAGCTACTTGGGTGGTGCAATCTGACACCCTGTATAAAGGCATTTACCAAGCAATGAAATGTGATCAGTCTCTAAAAAAGAATGACCAAGATCAGTATCAGCCACTTGGTACTCAAATCCAGAGACATCCCCTTACCAGATTAGAGAAAAACCAAAATGCCCCCCTTGACCTACTGTCAAACCTACAAGCCTCACACCAAGCAAGATAAGCTTTCCATGTATATTGGTAAACCTTTCTGCAAGTCAACTTTCTTGCCCTGAGAAAGGTAGGGATTGCAGAGTCAGAATCACCCCTATACCTCAGAACATGGGCTTTAACTGCCATACCGTCAAAGCCAGTGACCATAAAGCCGGGTGGAAGAAGGAACTCTGGGACAACAAATCTGGGAAAACTGAAAGAGCCAACGGATTGTCTGCCATGCAATTTATGATGTCTGCATACCACTTTCTTCTCAGCCAAACCTGAATCATTAGAATGCCCTCTACCGTTAACCTGCGCCACAGGTGAGAAAAAAAGCTGCAGTGGAAAAAGGCATAAGTCACCAGGGAACCCACCACAAACACCTGAGAATCCCTGGTTGAGGACAAAAACTTCTCCAGTTTGTTGATGAATCTGGACACCAAGAGATCCACACTCACTGTCCCCCACTGCAGACAAATCTCTGCAAACAACTCTTGGTGAAGGGCATGTTACCTCAGATTCAGCATAAGTCAGCTGAGAAAGTCTGCCTGCCAATTCTCTATGCCAGGAATGTGCAAGGAAGAGAGTGTCAGAAGGTGAAGTTCTGGCCTAGACAAAATTTAATCAGCTTCTTTCTAGACAGCATGAATTCTTGGCACTCTCACACAATTTCAGCTTATCTGGCAACCCACGTTTCCTGAACATCTAACTCAGCCCGACAGGTAGGCTACCATTCCAGTGCCCACCTGATCTTGGGAGTCAGATGCATTGGCAGGTTCAAGGACTCCTGATGTCTGTCTCGTACCAGCATGATATTGAGTCGACGAGATCTGGTGTGAAACTGGGCATAGTGGACTGCATCGAAGGCGGAGTTCCAGAATGTTGATTGGCAACTTTCACTCCTCTGACTACCATACTTCCTGAACATGGAGGTTCATCAGAACACCTTGCCAGCCCAACAGACTGGCATCCATTGTTGAGGACTTCCAGTTCATCAAAAGGAAGGATTTTCATGTTTCCAGCATCTGCATGGGTATCCACCATTCAAGAGCCAAAATGGTCTTGGGAGTCAGACGCATTGGTTAGATGTATCCAAGGCCTCTTGACGTTTTACCCATACTGGGATGAAACTGGACACGGGGCTGCATTGAAGGTGGCTACCATTTCCCCCAGTACTTTCATGGAAGATCCCTTGATCCGCACATGCAACAACTTTAGGGGCTAGGATATGCAGGATATTCTTCTGTGGGAGCAGTACCTCCCTAAAATTCATCAGAATCGCTGAACAACTACACCTTAAAATCGCACTGAAATCGGCAGGAAAATCACACGGCATCTATGTGAACCTAGCCTTAAGAAAACTGTGTTATTCTAGCCTCCATAAAGGACAACTGAAAACAGATGGTGCACCAGAAAGGTTTCAACAGTCTTAGCAGAGTTAGTAAAGGAGTCTAGACTAGGGACAGCCCTGGTAGAAGCTGCAATCTGGTTCATAAGTTTTAAAATTGTGCAAACACCTATGAATGAAAGCTGAGAAAGTCTCTAAATGTGGAAGTAATGGCAGAGGCCTGCAATTCCTCAGGAGACTCAGCATCAGGGGTATCGGCAGTGGAAGGCTTGAAGGCTAAAGCTACAGGAAGATCAGATAAAGATTCTGCACATCAAAGTGTGAAAGCATGCCTATGGCCTCTGCAGTCAGATTTAGCTATCAAAGTTGCAATTTGGTCCATACATTTCTGCATGACCGTGGTGAAATCCTCACAGGATACACCTAAGGAGGGGACCATGCCCAATGGAGCGAAGGACGATTTCTAAGAATTGTATAGGCTGAAGCAGAGGAGCAAATTCAAGAGTGTCAGTGCCAAACCCTTCAGGGAGTGCATTGCAGGCAGCACTAGAACAGTTAATGAATCATGAGCTAGAAGTACCTGGGGCAGGGGGACCGTTCCCCATGTGTCTGAGATCTGACATTTTTTACTTAACACTGAATAGCGGGAAAGAGAGGGCTTGCAAAATTCTACCAAGCAAAATATGTCAATACTCAGTTCTGGACCCCCTCCAGATGGAAGAAGAGCCTGAAAAGCTGGCCATACATTATACAAAATTTTCCTTTCCAATTTACTTTAGATTTACCTTCAGCTATGTAGCACAAAGGGACTGCCTGACTGCATACAAATTGACAGCATTTAGGTCTGACCTCATATTATATGGTTTTGGTAAATCTAAAGGAAAATTGTGCAAGAAAATTGTATGTTGTATGGCCAGCCTAACATTGCTGAAATACACTAGATCATGCTGTAGGCCATTAGCACATAGTGCAACATGTGGCGTTAGTTACAGAGTGCTTTACAAGTCCAATTTCTCTATACTTTCTTGGCGTGGTATACACAGCAAAAGTCCACCTTTTAACTACTGCTTCTATTTCCACTAAAATACCGTAAAATCATTATAAGCAGACCAAAAACACAATATAACTTACAAAACTCCTGCAAAATTTCTCCAAAATCTAAAAGTTAATACTGTATGAAGTATTGATAGATCATGGAGACGCTTGCTGGAGATTACTGATGAGCTTGGATTTGGGCTCAGTCTGAACCTGGACATTACCTGTCATTGCTGGACCAATGACCTTCAGGCAGGAGGTTCCCCACCCCGCAGAGGACATATACAAAGCGGTGGGGATGCTCATGACATCATTGGCCTACTATGTCTATGTGGTAATGGACACAGCAGGTCAGGCATAAAACTATTTCCTCATTCTTGCCTGTGTGTAAGCTGAAGATGATGCTTCTTTTGCATGCCATACATCTACTCACCCTGCTGCCACCAGCACTTGTTTGAGAGTCATCTGTTGTACTCAATTTTCGTGGTCTCCCTCTTCTGCCTGCTGGTATTTCTTCTTCAGCTTCTGTGGATTCATCTGACTTCTTCCTCTTGAGATCAACATCTGCCTTTAATGCCTGTCCTCTCTTTCTGTTAGCCACAGGGGTGGACACCTGGGGCAGCTCTTCTTTAGCTGATGTTCTCGTTGTCCTTCCTTTCCTTGATGTCTCGTCTTCTCTCTTTTTTGTACCCACACATAGTTCCTCTTCCACCTCTGCATTTTCCATCAGCTTTACACTTTCCTCTGTTAAGGTCTTTCTTCTAGTTCTTGAGGATGATCTTTCAGATTGTGAAGACTCCTTATCTGGTTTAAGGTCCCCTCCATGCTCACTTTCAGTTTTTTCATCTGCTTTCACATTTCTCCTTGTTTTTCGAGGGGTGTTTTGTACAGCTGTATTTTTTTTAGTGGTATCCGTAGTGGTCTCTTCAACTACCTCTTCCTTTGAGAACCTTCTTGTCCTTACAGATCTTTTACTTAGGTCTTCTCCTAAGTGTGCATCTTCTGATTTCGAACTCCTCCTTTTTCTAGTGACTGTTTCTTTCACAGGTTCTTCATCAACAATATCCTGTACCCTACTACCTCTTTGTGTTCTTTTTGTTGTTTGGGCTTCAGTTGTGTTGGAACTGCCCAAACTTCCTTTCTTATCTTCAAATTTCTGCTCTTCTTTGTAGCCTTTTCGTGTCCTCCTTGTTAGCTTTCCCGTGCTATCTTCCTCAGTCTTTCCAACTTCTGGTATGTCTTGTTCTGGCTTTTCCTCTTTGGAAGGTTTTCGTGTTCTCTTGGGAAGTGAGCTACTTTGGGAATCGTCTTCCACAGTGTGTTCGCGGTTTCTTTCTTTATTTTTCTGATTGCCTCTTAAGTTTATGACACGCTTGGATCTCCCGGTTTGCTCTTCTTTTTGTGAATCTCCCTTAACCTCTTCCCTTACGTTCTTCCTCTTCCTTGTTGATCTTGTATTTGCAGAATTTTGATCATCTTGACAGGTTTTATTAGCTTCTTCATTCTGGCTTGCTTTTGTGTCTGCCCCTTTTTGTTTCTCACGTTCCTCAGGCTCTGTAGTTGAAATACGAGATGTCCTTGTTCTTCTGCCTCTTGGACCTTCGTGTCCACCATCTTGCAAGTCATCTGTTCTTGGAGTAGGCATCTTGAAGTCATCTTGTGTTTCCAAATTTGTACCACTGGTTTCAGATTCAGTCTCATCTTCAACATCATTGGACTTGATTTCTTGTGTATTATCCTTTTTTGCTTTGGTAGCAGTTTGTCTTTTGCCTCTGGCAGGCTTCTTGTTCTGAGGAGCAGAAATAGTCTCTGAATGTTCTGGGAGATCCAGAATCCTGGACTTGTTACTTTTAGTATTCTTTGAATATGCTGAAACATTTTTGTCCCCATTAGGCTCCGACGATTTTGAGATAACATTTCTTTCTTGGTCACTCTCCATTTGACCTACACTTATCTCCATGGAGGTAGGTCCAGTCACATTTTCAAATTCTGATCTTAGATCTATCTTCTCAGGGTGATTCTCTGAAAAGGTTTCAGAGACATCACTCTCCTTACACTTCTCAGAGGCTGATCCAAAGTCTTCTTTAGATTCATCTGTTCTTTCTTCTTGCATCTTAACTATACTTTTCCTACTTGGTTGTTTTCTCCTTATCTCATTATTTCCTGATGTTAATGGTTCAGCCACTGAGGCTATTCTGCTGGATTTCTTTCGAGATGCTGTTGGGACAACCAATTCATCCTTTGTTTTAGCTTTGCTCTCTGATTCATCAGTTGCTTTTCTCCGTCCTCTTCGCCTACCATTGCTTTCTGGCTCAGTTTCCTCCTTTGTTTCAGAGACCACAATCCTGGGTCTGGACTGCTCCAATTCACCTGCACTCAATTCAGCTGTTTCTTCTAGTGCTGAATGTGCTGCAGGAGCAGCTTGTTCTGATAGCTGTGTTTTTTCAGCTGAAATCTGCAAAGAAAATATATGAAACATTAACAAAATGGAATTTTCATTACTTTGGGTCCAATCACAGTATATAAATGTTATTTTACATTTTTCACAGATGCAGGTGGGTCAATAATTTTCACACTGGTTCAGTCTTTTCACTTTGTTTAATTATTCCCACCTTCCACAGGTATAATGATCTTGCAGTATCCCAGTCTTTTAAATTTACATTACAGAGCCTGCATCAAGAGCAAAGTGCTTGTTGGCAGCAGGGATAGAGGCTGGACATCAATTATGGAGGTCTTTTTTCTGAGAGATAAAAAGGAGAATCTGTCCACCGGAAACTGAAATATCAGTTTTGGGTGGACTGACAGAATAATACACATAAAAGGCAAAAATAGCAGTAATAATCTGTTGTCTTGTTACTTATAAACTGTATTTCTGTTGCTTTCCCAGACTCTAAACACCTGCAAGTAAGACTGAAACTGCTGAGCTACTGAAGGCGATTTTGGTTCACTTCCCAAACAAGCACATCCAACAGCTTGCAGAAAAGTTCAAGCAAATAATGTAGCAAAATACTGTAGCAAGACTGTTGACTAACTGTAACATTGTTGCCCAAGCTATATAAATTTAAAACTGAACTTTAAGAATTCAGGCACTTTCAAAAATGTGCCAGATTACTATGGGTTAAGTCCAACAAGGTGCATTTACAATACAATACTGACTGCTGGAAACATAGGTATTGCTAATACTTCTGGTGCTCAGTTAATGCAGCTGTGCATGCAGCCATACTACTGCACACACTGCTTTGTATTATGGGAACACATTTACATAATACAAATCCTTCTGTGAATGCACAGCAGATGGGAGGGGTGAGCAGAGCAGTTGCTGTGTGAGAAAGACTCACATCTTCCCTACTCTGGAAAGTGGGGGCTCACCTGCATGCCAAGGAATGTGAATTTGGCAGACATTTAGTGCCACACCTAGTGGACTGGCCCCTTACTTGGAGGGCCTCGATGAGGACGTGGATAAACAAGAAGAATGTTTTTAGAGAAACCAAACTTCTTTTGAACGATTCTTTTTTACAGAGGGCATAAAGTGCAGATAAAGAGCAACCCCACTTCTGTATGGCTGCACTTCGCCAGTTAGAAGCCAAGGTCTGATCACAATATTGACTCAAACTAATCCTCCACAGCCCACATGTATTAAATTACCAAAAGCAATAAGGGGGCCTGGGACTCTGTCCAGTATCATACCCACTAAAGATGACATAGTGGCTACAGAGAAAGCTGGAAGGAGATGTACTATTTGTTCAAAGCGACGTACGTAAGCACTGCTAATATCTGTGTCAGAGCACGCAGAGCTGCAGGGGAATAAATAAACATGATAACCCACAATGGCAGTTGTAGGTTAACTTAAACCCAGTTCACACCAGATGCAGTCTAGTGCATTTTGTTCTGCATCAAAAATGCATGGACAGTAGCTTACATGGGTTCCAATGGCCTAGTTCACACCAGTGCAATCAATTCCAGTGCAATACAGATCAGAAAAAAAGAATAGCACATGCTGAATTTTTTATGCACTGAACTGTACTGGAATGAGGCAAAACACATCAAACACGAAAAAGAAAGCATATGTCCCTATTTAAGATAAAAAAAAAAACGCACTGGAACACATCAAAAACACATATGCAGAAACGCATCTGGACTGCATTTCTATGGTGTGAACTGGCCCTCAAAGTACAACCAAAAGGCAAAACTTTTTTTTGTTTGTTTTGGATAGAGTAATGATGGATTAGAGCCCCTATCAGTTGTTATCTTGTTCTGTGTTCCCGTTAGGGAGATTCTCCCTATTTGTCCTCTTTACCATTGTCATTGAACGTGAAAGTAAAAGAAAACCCCAAATTTTTGTGTTGCCCCCAGAAAAGTAATCGAGGAAAAATGTTCCAAAACGGAACTAGTTCTGGTGGCATAATTTGCAGATACAGTGAAGAAAGTAAGTATTTGATCCCCTGTTGATTTTGAATGTTTGCCCACTCGCAAAGAAATGATCAGTCTAAAAATTGAATGGTAGGTGTATTGTAACACTCAGAGGCAACAAAAAATTCAAAAGAAATGCATGTCTAACAAGTCATGTGCTGATTTGCACGTTCATGAGGGAAATAGGCATTTGATCCCCTTCACAAAACATGACTTAGTACTTGGTGGCAAATCCCTTGTTGGTAATTACAGAGATCAGACGTTTCCTGTAGTTGGCCACCAGGTTTCCACACATCTCAGGAGGGATTTTGGCCCACTCCTCTTGGCAGATCCTCTCCAAGTCATTAAGGTTTGGTGGCTGGCATTTGGAAACTCAATCTTTCAGCTCCCTCCACAGATTTTCAATCGGATTAAGGTCTGGAGACTGGCTAGGCCACTCCAGGACCTTAATGTGCTTCTTCTTAAGCCACTCCTTTGTTGCCTTGGCCATGTGTTTTGGGTCATTGTCATGCTGGAACCCCCTTCTACGACCCATTTTCAATGCCCTGGCTGAGGGAAGAACATTCTCACTCAAGATTTGACAGTACATTGCCCCGTCTATCGTCCCTTTGATGGGGTGCAGTTGTCCTGTCCCCTTAGCAGAAAAACACCCCCAAAGCAGAATGTTTCCACCACCATGTTTGACAGTTGGGATGGTGTTCTTGGGGTCATAGGCAGCATTCCTCCTCCTCCAAACACGGCGAGTTGAGTTGATGCCAAAGAGCTCGATTTTGGTCTCATCTGACCACAACACTTTAAACCAGTCCTCCTCTGCATCATTCAGATGTTCAGTGGCAAACGTCAGACGGGCCTGGACATGTGCTTTCTTGAGCAGAGGGACCTTGTGGGCACTGCAGGATTTCAATCCTTATCGGCGTAGTGTGTTACAAATTGATTTCTTGGTGACTGTGGTCCCAGCTGCCTGGAGATCATTGATAAGATCCTCAAGTGTAGTTCTGGGATGATTCCTCACTGTTCTCATGATCATTGACACTCCACGAGGCGAGATCTTGCATGGTTCACCAGATCCAGGGAGACTGACAGTTGTTTTGTGTTTCTTCCATTTGCGAATGATTGCACCAACTGTTGTCACCTTCTCACCAAGCTGCTTGGCAATAGTTTGGTAGCCCAGTCCAGCCTTGTGTAGGTCTACAATCTTGTCCCTGACATCCTTGGACAGCTCTTTGGTCTTTGCCATGGTGGAGAGTTTGGAATCTGATTGTTTGATTGCTCCTGTGGACAGGTGTCTTTTATACAGGTAACAAAATGAGATTAGCAGCAATCCCTTTAAGAGACTGCTCCTAATCTCAGCTTGTTACCTGTATGAAAGACACCTGGTAGTCAGAAATCCTGCTGAATGATAGGGGATCAAATACATATTTCCCTCATGAACATGATAAAATCAGTGCATAATTTGTTAGACATGCATTTCTTTTGAATTCTTTGTTGCTATTCTCTCAATGTTACAATACACCTACCATTCGATTTTTAGACTGATCATTTATTTGTGAGTGGGCAAACATTCAAAATCAGCAGGGGATCAAATACTTATTTCCTTCACTGTATGTCCTTTCACTTCCTGTTTTAGCTATGGGACACATAGGGGGGATCGCTATAGGCATGAATTGAAATGAGCTACCTGTCATATGCCTAAAAAACACCAGATAGCTCCTTTCAGCAGCCCATTCCGAATGTAAATGTGTCACAGCCCAGCTTCTGCATTAATGAGATGGCACAGTATTTATTACACGCATACATTTGGTGTATTGTTTTTGTAATCTTCAATAACAATACTGCTTCAGTTCCAGATACAATTAAAACCCAGCTCTGGGGGGAAAAAAAAACAAATAAACACACGTTTTCCCATGCAGTGGGGCTGTGCATGGACTTTGCAGGTTACCTGTTCATTTTGTCCAGGAAAAACCAGAAAGCTTATACATACCTGACCCTCCAATCCAGTGGCAAACAGCAACAGATGTCAGGAACAGTCCACCACACAAGACCGCTAGGGAGGCAGGAGCCACAGAGACCGGTCATGTGCAGGGAGGATCAGAGGATTAGCAAAGTATGTCTCCCCTTTTCCAATCCCCTAGACCAGTGGTTCTCAACCTTTCTAATGCCGCGACCCCTTAATACAGTTCCTCATGTTGTGGTGACCCCCAACCATAAAATTATTTTCGTTGCTACTTCATAACTGTAATTTTGCAGTGGAAGGAGTAGTGCCCCATCACTGATGTCAGTGGGATGAATAGTGCCCCATCGTTGGTGTCAGTGGGGGGAGTAGTGCCCCATCGTTGGTGTCAGTGGGGGGGAGTAGTGCCCCATCGTTGGTGTCAGTGGGGGGAGTAGTGCCCCATCGTTGGTGTCAGTGGGGGGAGAGTAGTGCCCCATCGTTGGTGTCAGTGGGGGGAGTAGTGCCCCATCGTTGGTGTCAGTGGGGGGAGTAGTGCCCCATCGTTGGTGTCAGTGGGGGGAGTAGTGCCCCATCGTTGGTGTCAGTGGGGGGAGTAGTGCCCCATCGTTGGTGTCAGTGGGGGGAATAGTGCCCCATCGTTGGTGTCAGTGGGGGGAATAGTGCCCCATCGTTGGTGTCAGTGGGGGGAATAGTGCCCCATCGTTGGTGTCAGTGGGGGGAAATAGTGCCCCATCGTTGGGTGTCAGTGG